TTCTGAGCGGCAAATAAAGCACACGAAAGCAATAAGGCTCGTTTCCTTCCTCCTTGCTGCAATATGTAATTTTAAAATCGTTTTGTCGAGGAGAAGTGGAGAATTCGTTTCGCGTCCGAGCAATAAGCACGTTCTGATCATCGATCGTCATTACACCTACCGTTCCTTTTAAGGGGGTGAGATGCCGGAGGGTCGAATATCGCCGATAACTTAGTGTAAATGAGGCGAGGACAAAACATTAAGTAGTTAATGTCTTGTTAAGAGCGTGACTTGAAACGCGAATTACTCATCAAGCCGCCGCCGGGACAAAAGCAGAAAGACTCAATTTACGACGGACGCTTTTTCGGCGGCGATAGTGCCGGTTTAATCGAAAAAAGTTCACCCCCTATGTAAATAGCGAACTAGCGCAGAGAAAAGTGCTTATTATTGTCGTTTTTCCCATAAATATTCACCCCTGGGAATGAGCATAGTTAGGAAGAGCACTAAAGAATTTCTCTGACATTATTGCCACTATTTGGGGGCCTCATATTAATCTTATAAATCAGGGTAAAAGTCCTTCATTTCCGCCTTCGGGAAATATTATTCTTATTTATGGGGCAAATGGCAAAAGCATAATTTAGCGCGATCTGAGCGGCGCACCATCAAGACTAACGTTTCGGCTCTTCATTCGAACTCACCCGCACCAAGTGGTGGCAACATTTTTCCGGGAATGCACTCATTTATCATAAGGCAATGCGATAAACAATAAGGCTGCAGGAACAGCGTTCGATAAATCAATTCAGCTGGATGATGGTTTCGACATGGCACCAGCAACGGAATTGTCGCAAACACCGAAAAGTTCTTTGTTTGTTTGCACACCGTCAGAGCTGATTATTGGAGGCAGTAACTATCATTTCAAAGTGCATAACTCGTTGCAACTTGAACGGTAAATGGAACGACGCGTATACAAGGAAAGTTTCCCGGGCCCATTCTTGGATGTGCGTCAAGTTGCAAATTGATTCTTACCAGAGGTGACACGTGTTTAAAAGTTTCTGGAGCATTTCGCTCTCAGTATTAACTCTTTGGAATCCTGCTGTCTATTATGTTGTACTAGTCAATGCCTGATGTGCCACATTGCCATCAATGTTATTCCTGCGTTTTTAATCATAAACCAGCATGCAACAGACGTTAAAAGACCACTCAAAGATTGGATGATTTTTAGTGTTTTTTGCGCCGAACTGAATATTTTATAAAGGCCCGACATATTTATTTAAAGCGCAATTTATTGCAGCATCGATAAATTTTTAATAAATATTCATGTTAACGGGTCAGTGCAGCGAGGGCTGTTCGGATATTTCCGAAATATAAATTATTTAATAATTGTACAAACGATACATAAACGATTCGAGGCTGGAACGCTGCAGTCGCGGCGGCCACAAAAACGTATTTTAACCAACGACAAAAAAACCGTTTTTTTTGTCAACTGTTTACGTTGAATAGAGAAAAAATTGACACGTTGAACGGTTTTCTCCCAGCCCTAATGGATGCCATTCTTTTAATCGATTGCGTCAACAAATTAGGCACTCCTTCGGCCGAAGGAAAATGCCAACAGGCAATTATTCCCAATAAGTAGGTGCAAATGGAGCGGGGACGCGCAATATCGAAGAGTTAATGTCTTTACTGGTTAAGGCGAAATGGGGAACTGAAATCAACCAAAAATAGCTCGAAAGTTGGCCATTTTTCCGGGAAATATCAGCCAAGTTTAAAAATAACATTTTCCACCTTCCTTGGAGTCGCAAAAACCCCCCACTGTTGGCTGATTGCGACGACTATGCAAACGCCGCGAGGAAAAACCGGGCCATTGTATTCGACAGCTTTTCATTTACCTTTACAATACTGACAGGGGCGAAATGGGAAAGAGAAACGGACAAAGCGGCCAAATAAAATTTAAAAAAACGCACAAAACCCCACTTTTAATAGCGGCAAAAGCCTTAATACATTGTGGTCGAAACAAAACGGCTCGATCGCGGCCCAAAACCGACTGGCTAATCCAAGAAAACCACCCCCCGTTGCCGGAATGACCAGCTTTCCAATGGGTTTATGCAAATGGAACCATTCCAGTTTAATTAGTAAAAAGTCGCTGTGCGTTTTCACAGTGTTTCACAGTTTCATACATAATGTGTCTGGGTAACTCGGTGGATTTTTGGGAGTTGGCGCAGTGCTACGCAAAGTGCTTGGTGCGTCAACCCAACGTACCGGCGCAGTTACTCAGATCCGTTGCTGGGAAAATGTTTATGACCTTTTTTAGTTACTAGTGGGGTTTTTCGGGTTTTTAGGCCGTTGTTCGGTAGAATTTCTTCCTGACGTTTCGCAAGCACGAGTGGCTTGCATCTTCAGAAGTGGTTTGCTTGA